TGGATGTGAAGGACACAGAGAGGTTTGGTGGGTGAATGTTTTATCTGGATGTGAAGGATACACAGAGGGGTTTGGTGGGTGAATGTTTTATCTGGATGTGAAGGATACACAGAGGGGTTTGGTGGGTGAATGTTTTATCTGGATGTGAAGGACACACAGAGGGGTTTGGTAGGTGAATGTTTTATCTGGATGTGAAGGATACACAGAGGGGTTTTGTGGGTGAATGTTTTATCTGGATGTGAAGGATACACAGAGGGGTTTGGTGGGTGAATGTTTTATCTTGATGTGAAGGATACACAGAGGGGTTTTGTGGGTGAATGTTTTATCTGGATGTGAAGGATACACAGAGGGGTTTGGTGGGTGAATGTTTTATCTGGATGTGAAGGACACACAGAGAGGTTTTGTGGGTGAATGTTTTATCTGGATGTGAAGGACACACAGAGGGGTTTTGTGAGTGAATGTTTTATCTGGATGTGAAGGATACACAGAGGGGTTTGGTGGGTGAATGTTTTATCTGGATGTGAAGGATACACAGAGAGGTTTTGTGAGTGAATGTTTTATCTGGATGTGAAGGGCACACAGAGAGGTTTTGTGGGTGAATGTTTTATCTGGATGTGAAGGATACACAGAGAGGTTTTGTGGGTGAATGTTTTATCTGGATGTGAAGGACACACAAGGGGGTTTGGTGGGTGAATGTTTTAGCTGGATGTGAAGGACACACAGAGGGGTTTGGTGGGTGAATGTTTTATCTGGATGTGAAGGGCACACAGAGAGGTTTTGTGGGTGAATGTTTTATCTGGATGTGAAGGATACACAGAGGGGTTTTGTGGGTGAATGTTTTATCTGGATGTGAAGGACACACAGAGAGGTTTTGTGGGTGAATGTTTTATCTGGATGTGAAGGACACACAGAGGGGTTTGGTGGGTGAATGTTTTATCTGGATGTGAAGGATACACAAGGGGGTTTGGTGGGTGAATGTTATATCTGGATGTGAAGGACACACAGAGGGGTTTGGTGGGTGAATGTTTTATCTGGATGTGAAGGACACACAGAGGGGTTTGGTGGGTGAATGTTTTATCTGGATGTGAAGGACACACAGAGGGGTTTGGTGGGTGAATGTTTTATCTGGATGTGAAGGACACACAGAGGGGTTTGGTGGGTGAATGTTTTATGTGGATGTGAAGGACACACAGAGGGGTTTTGTGAGTGAATGTTTTATCTGGATGTGAAGGATACACAGAGGGGTTTGGTGGGTGAATGTTTTATCTGGATGTGAAGGACACACAGAGAGGTTTTGTGGGTAATGTTTTATCTGGATGTGAAGGACACACAGAGGGGTTTGGTGGGTGAATGTTTTATCTGGATGTGAAGGACACACAGAGGGGTTTTGTGAGTGAATGTTTTAGCTGGATGTGAAGGACACACAGAGGGGTTTTGTGAGTGAATGTTTTCCCCGGATGTGAAGGACACACAGAGGGGTTTTGTGAGTGAATGTTTTAGCTGGATGTGAAGGATACACAGAGGGGTTTTGTGAGTGAATGTTTTATCTGGATGTGAAGGACACACAGAGGGGTTTGGTAGGTGAATGTTTTATCTGGATGTGAAGGGGGGTTGGGTGGGGGAAGTTTGTGATTGGATGTGTAAGGGCACACAGAGGAGATTGGTGGGACAACTGTGTGACTGGATGTGGTGTAGAGCATGAGGAATATAATAACTGTATGCCCATCATGGACAGCTGCATCTCTTTATGCTTACCTGGGCTAATGTGACTCCTGTATTTTGTCCATTGGTTGTCATCATCCAGCAGCATCTGTCGGCATGTCTGAATGCACCGAGTTGATGTTGAAAACTGGCATACATTTATTCAAGAGAATAAGACAGCGATTTGTCAGTGATTTTTGGAAACAGTTGCTATATTTTCTTGTGTAATGTGGTTCCTGAGTAGTACCAATGTATGGGTTCAAACTGAAGTTTATCAAACTGTTAATACAATATTTGGGCTTTGTACTTTGATATAGCATTCAAATGGACCATCTCCATGATCTAATGATAGAGCGCCTGCCTGGCGAGTGGAAGGTCCTGGTTTAGATCCCCAGCCACATCAAACCAAAAGATGTTAGAAGGTGACACTTTGTTGTTACCCTGTCTGATGCTCTGCATTAAGGGCTAAAACAAGGACTGGTCAGCTTGGAGTCTGTATACTGTGTCTGAGTGGCGTATTCATGTTAAACTATGGCATGTGTATCACACTATAAAATAGTCATTACTCTAGCAGTACAGTACGGACGAGTACAAGCAGCCACGCACACTTGCATGCACTATATAAGTGCAATAATCTTGAATGCGATGTTAAACCCGATTTCACCTCACCTCATCTCTTTACAAATACAGTCTGGACAGTAAATGTCTTCTCATCTGAAACATCTGGACTAATGAAAATATAACTTGGCAGGTTTGTATGTTGTTCTCAGCTAATTTTCAGTCATATTGAAACAGCTTAGTCAGCGTTAATGACTCTCAACAAAAAGAACGGAAGGTTTGTGTTTGGAAAGGAATTTAGTGCATGCATGAAAGTTTTCTTGTTTTTTGTTGAACCTTTGAATGTTGAACTTAATTTGACTGTCATACTTTGACCATATGTTCTCAGATTTCCTCCAGATTCATGCAGTGCACACCTTTCACAGCTATGAATCCGACATTTTCTGAAAACTATGTAAAAATAATTATTGTATTCGACGTAATAAGCGCCCCACTCTAATAAGCACCTACGGCGATAATTGCTCATATATTTGCTAGTGAACCATCCAATTTAGCACCCCTTCCGATTGATCAATGTACACAAGACTTATTTATTCGCGTATAATACGCACTCGTGTGTTTTATGCACCCTTAATTATGGGCAATTAAATTCTGGAAAAATATATCTGTCGTATATAAACAGTTCAAGCTGTCAGCATAAACCACGAAATTTATCTTTCAACTCTGTTTTTTCCACCAAAATAATATTCTAGTAAGAGCCCTCTATTTCTAATTTTGAGAGCGACCTGGGCGCTTATTACGTCGAATACGGTAAATTTCAGTTGTATTCATTGTAATTCCTGCATTCTGATTAGCTGAATTGGTCACATGTTATTGCATTCACAATGAATGTAAAGTAACAAATTAAGCCACGCCCATAGAAGTGGACTACTTTTATTACCACATAATGTCAGGGAATCCAAATATTACAGTCAAGGGAATTATCCTTTTGCTTGCCTGCATCGTTATGCACAGGACTTTTTAGCAACATTCATACATATTCATGGCCAAACCACCCTTTGAGGCTGAAGGCCGAGAAGGAATGAAACAGGAGGCTCACTCGCCTGTTGTTTTTTGTTCGCTTGAGTTCCACAAATTTCATGTCTTGGGTTTAATTTCTAACCTTCATTTTTCAAACTGTACTCCTTATCTTCCCATTCTCAAGGAACTAATGTTTGAATCTGGTAGTTACGGTATGTATTCCTACGCCAGGAATGTTTATCAATCTCGTCATTTTTGTCAGCTTTGATTTATACAAATATTTTTGATTAAACTATTGAAGATAACACATGTTTTCGTTGTCTAATTTAATTATAAATCATGAATATGAATAAAAAAACCAATGTGCAAACTGTAAGAATCTGTGTGAATTGAGATTCAGAATTATACTGTGAATGTTCAAAATGTCTGCCATGGAAATGATGCATCTTGAACATTTTGAATTTTGTCAGCCTTTCTTGCAAATAATACCCCTAAATTGTGTGTATACAGATCGAATATACCGGTAGTGTAGTTGATGGCAATGTCGTTGTTAACCTTCTTGAGTCTAGCAGGCAGCTTGGGTTGTATACTCTCCAGGGGGCTGAGAATGATTCTTAAGTGCACACTGATCAAGTGACCGGGGTAATAATAGCGCTTTGAGCATGCCCCTGAATGGTGTGGAAATATGAGCAATATTAATGGCCTATTATTGTTGTTGTTGTTGTTGTTGTTGTTGTTCTCAGATATGTTTCATTGTTTGCTTCATTTTGAATTTTTCTGTGAATGTGCTGTGAATCAAATTTCAGCCATGTTGTTCCTTTTCTTGGAAGTTTCATTGGTCAAACGATGTCTCCCCTGGAACCACATGGTCCACGAAGCTCAATTGTTACATGGATGATACAATCACAAATCACATGACTGTCTCTTCCAGGCTGCCGTGATATGGCTGGAAAAGTTGGGTGTTCAACAACACACACAAACAAAATCATACATATTGCAGGTTTTCATTTTCATAACAAACGCAATCATAACTCTGCCTCAGTGTATCCATTGAACCCAAGATGGAGTCTTCAGTGCATAAGCCGTTCAGTCATCACAGTTGTCATTCAACTCTTCATCGCAGTCGTCAGGGATGTCAGGTACCATGTAGGTAAAGTGAGTTGGTGTTATACAGTTTTGAGATATCTTTATTTGACAGCACAAATGATGGAGATCTGGAACACAGAACAGGAAGCTAACTACCATATTTTCTTGAGTATAGTGTTCACCCGAGTACAATGCGCACCCCCCCTCTAGCGGACTCAGTATTTTGGAAAAAAGAAAATTTGAATATTATGCACAGAAAAAATTTACACCATACCCCTTCAGCGAATTCCAGTAAACGAATGGGTAATGAGAAACTTGGTCAGTACAAATTTGAAATTAGAGATAAAAAATCACTTGACATGTTGATTTACCATTTAAATTGTATTTTTTGTTCTACTAGGCCTTGTTTTACATCCAGGGATTAACATTACCTAGTGTATTTTCTCGTAAACTAAGCCCGAAACAGCAATCAGCTTCCGGTGTTACGTGCTCACGGTAATGTCTTTCTTTTTGGGGAAAAAACATCGAAACTTATTATTGCGCACCCCCTTCTACACAGCTGTGTTTTTAAAAAAAAGTGCGCACTATACTCAAGAAAATATGGTATTACACATCATTGCATAATGTAAATTTACATAATCTGCTTCTTCGAAGTCATCAGGGATGTTGGCTGCTACGTTGGTGCCCTCAGAACCCTCACCTTGAGACAACTTCACCAGACTTCAAACAGGCAATCGTCCCTCAAGCCATCCGTCGCATGGCAAACCCCCACTTTAGAAGCTTAGCTTCAACATTTCACTTGGTATGACTTTCCAGGGTGCCTTCACCCATTTGGCAACAACTGGTAGTAGGGCCCTTATTTGCATGTTGCTCTTTGGGTGTGTGTGGTCGCCATTCACCATCCAATTGTTCCATTCAGTCCTCACATTGGCCTTTAACAGTTTGTTTAAACAGACAACTAATGGCAGCAGCAGGGATGTGCAGCCACCAGGGATCACTGCCTCCCCAATCTTGCTGTCCTCATTCAAGGTATCAAAAACTCACCTTATAGATGGCGATATACGGTAAATAAGGACCATATTGAATATTCCTATTTTGATCATTAATAACAATGCAATCATCCATGTGCAAGATGGTATACCTGTATCCATTCTGTATATTAATGTTTACCCCATTTTTACCATTGAAATTGATTACTTCTTAAATCTAGTCATAAGACATAACATACATTCTATCGCATATCTCTGTGTGTGTGCATGTGTACGTGGGTGCCTGTATCAAATTTGTTGTTAAACGCTTCACTCAGCATTATTCCAGCTATCTGACAGTGGCCTGTGAATGATCAAGATTACTCAGTGATTTATATTATGAACAAGAATCCATGCCTTCAGGGTACGTTGACATGCCATCTACCAATTACCCGAGCCTGACCAACCAATCCATTATGTTGTCTCTTTGGACCAGGAGGGGTCGGGTAGCCTAGTGGTTAAAGTGTTCGCTCGTCAGGCTGAAAACCCGGGTTCGATTCCCGACATGGATACAATGTGTGAAGCCCATTTCTGGTGTCCCTCGCCGGGATATTGCTGGAATATTCCTAAAAGCGGCGTAAAACAATACTCACTCACTCACTCTTTGGACTGGCATAGGTTGCAAGGGACCAATTCGAACCCAGAATCCCCAGGTTCCCAATTTAGACTGGCAATGGGGTACTGGGGAATTCCAATGTTAACTGGAGAAATTGATGAATATCAGTTTGAGGTGTTGTTCTAATTAGGTAACATTCTCAATGTTGAAATCTGAGTACCCCAGCAATAACGAGGGTAGAATATGTCTGCTGTATGTCTGTGCCATAATAAACCTTTGACAGGTTGGCCGCCATACAACAGCATGTCCTCTACAGTAACTGACAAGTAATGCTTGTATGAATGTGGATTCTGAGGCTAACATATGTATACATATTCATAAACTGGGATGGGGGCATGGGTGGGCCAGTCGTCTAAGGCGCTGCGATTCGCTGTGCAGAGTTGCATCCTTTGGGCACGCCAGAAACCTATGATTGTGGGTTCAAATCCCGATTCGCCCCGATTATGTTTCTAGGTTTGTCAGCACCATACCCGTGCTTGTGGGTTTCACCGAAGTGGTAAACGTCTGAGACCTGCATCACTTCAGGCTTTTCTCCCACATTAAGCTGACACGCTGTGATATAACTGGAATACTGTTAAAATTCATACAGGAATTCTGATTCAAGACTCGCCTATCCCTGTTGCTTGGTTCACAATGTCAAAAACTTTGACATTTTATTTGGTTTACCTTTTCAGTAATACATGACTTGCCGATATAACCAACAGGCTGAGGTTAAAATCTACCACACCAAGTCTGTGTGTACATTTCACTACACTGATCATGCATAATTTAATGTTGTCCTTTTTTTTACACACAACATTATTCAAAGTGATGAAAGCATTATATAAACTAACAGCCAAAAGAAACTGTACCATCGTTTAAAAGCACTCTAGTTTAAAAAACACAAAAGATAGATGCATTAAGTAAAATGTATTGAAAAGATCAAAATCTCAATAAAATCGAAATTTAAAATGACAGTCATACAGCATCCAATATTGGATGAAAGTTGCCCTGATTGAGGTCAGGTAGCAAAAATAAATTTTCAATGTAATGGACAAAGGGCACACACATCTAAAATCCCTCAAGTTCAATCACAAGTCACATTAAAAGCATGTAAGACACGTATAAAATTCTCCAGTGCACAGAAAAAGTCTCATGACATTAGGTGGGATATGTCACAATTTTTTTAGGGGGCCTGGATCAATTCATTCTGTATGGCTGGAGGATGCAGTCTCTGTCAGAGGAATTCTATAGGGGACATGTCTTGGGAGCGTGCAGGCTACAGAAACAAGTTGAAGTTCTGTACGATTTGGGCTGTATGGGTCTTGCGTAGTCATGCTGATAAAGAACACCATGTGGCAGCTGTTGTAGAAATAATAGGACAATTGGATGAAGAAAGTAATCCATGTAACGTTGAGCTGTCAAATTTCTGTTAATGATAACCAGTGGTATTCTCTCCTGCCCACAAATTCCTCCCAATACCATAACACCCCATCCACCATACGGCACGACCTCCCACACAACGCAACATGCCACTGTTAATTCTCCCCTTCGGTGGTAAACACGCTGTCTTCCATCAGTTCTAAACAGACAGAACTGGCTTTCTTCAGTAAAGACGACCCTCTGCCAGTCACGTCGCTGCCCATGATGTACAATCCAGGCCCATCTCAATTTCTGACGATGATGTTGCGCTGTCCATAGCTGTTCTCTGTAAGGTCTGTAAGCCCTAATTCCTTGAGCCCTGAAACACCTGGCCACTGTCTTTTTACTAGCCATATGCCCTAAGGCATTTGTTGCTGATGACGTCACTGTCAGGAATTGATTCTGGAGATGCAAAGTACGCAAATACTGGTCTTCATTGGGCATAGTTACCCAGGGTATGCCTGTTCTTGGTCTGTCTGATGTCTGCCCGGGCTGTGTGTAACATCTGTATCATACCAAGGGCCCGCTCGTGTTGTTCAGGTGTCAGTTGTGGCATTTCTTGGGTGGTTTTTTATTAGTTTGAGTGTCTGATATGCTGTCTGTATCCTTTATATACCCTTTTTGCGTGTGTAGTTTCTGCTGCCAAAGTGGCACATGCTTTTCACTTTTTTGCATACCGGGTATCCTACAAAGAAATGTTCCATGGACGAGTGTCACTTTTTGCATAGACCATTGTTATGTTTGGACAATGTGTTTTGCATTGACTTAGTTTGAACTTGTGTTTTTAACTTTTTGCAATTTCATTTTAAAGTGGTAAAGTTTCTTTTGGCCTCCAGTTTATTACTGCTTGAAGAAATCACAAATTTCTTTAATTCTGACGAAAAATACACTTTAAGTACATGTATGTGATCTGTTCATGGATGCATGAATTAATTGCAAGTCATTCCATGGTTTTCGATTTGATAAACCAAGCAGTTTTGTTTGTTATAAACCATCCCCAAATTAGGCCATGCCACAAGTAGAGTACTGTTTCTGATGGGCTGTTAATAGTGAATGAGAGAGTGAGTGAGTGAGTATGGTTTTACGCCGCTTTTAGCAATATTCCAGCAATATCACAGCGGGGGATACCAGAAATGGGCTTCACACATTGTACCCATGTCGGGAATCAAACCCGGGTCTTCGGCGTAACGAGCGAACGCTTTAACCACTAGGCTACCCAACCACCTCGGCTGTTAATAGAGTAGGTGGGGCTTGGGCTGCATTACTGCACTGAACCATGTCACTGACTGTTGTCTGAAGTGTTTTGTGTTAATGATTAAATAAGCATTCTGTGAAGTTATTGTTATAGACTAATTTATTTATAAGAATTATAGTCAATGTTTTTGCTTCATGGATGTAGAAACGTAAAATCTGGTGTACACGCACACATCGCATGTCGGGTGTGCACACCTGTTTCTACATGCATACTTCATGGGTTTTAAACAGTGTGCATACTCAAGCAGCTGCAGGACTATGGTGCTTTTTTTTAGCTAAACTGGACTGAGTGTGTCAGACTTTTTTATTTTGATTGAGAAGACAGGAATTGCCTATTCTAAGATACTACAGTTCACTATGGAGATTTACATCCCTTTGTTATGCCAGGATCTGCTGATCAATGGTTCAAACTCCATACCATGCCTCAGTTTCAAGAAGGTGGTAACCAACTATGGCTTGTGTCACAGTGTGCTTTCCTCCCTTTAAGATATTGCAGACAAGGCTTCCTTTAAATGCAGCCCACTCAACTCCACCTCCCTATCAGCTAAACGATCGAGTCATGTCAGCCACTTTCGTTTCACTTAAACCTAAGGGATTCAGGTTTTAAAGAACAAGATGAAATTTAATTTACAATAGCTATCAAATATCATTGCATTATCATACTTTTCCAGCACACAAACCATTAAGTGAAATGTTTTCTATATTCATGAAAGTTTTATTCCATTTGCAAAACTTTAATATCTTAACTCAATCTGTTTGACCTGAGATTTAAGAATCTGATATCCATTTACACAAGAATGTTTATATCAATAAAAATCATTTATTTTAAATCATTTATTCTTGCAAGCCCCAAGAAGAAAATCTTGAATAAGCCACAGATTGAATAAATTCATTTTTCAATTACACCAGAATGTTGATGTAAATTTATTTTCCTTTCAAAAATTAGATGTTATTCCTGACAACAAATCCATTTAAGCTGTGAGATTTAGGATATTTTCAAATTGCTGATCCCAAACTGTTACAGGTCATGAATTTGAAAATATCTCAATATTTTATCACTGGTGTTTGAGCCCCATACTCTACAGCCTCACTTTGACATAACTTGTGTGGAGCTGTTGTTACACAGACGTTTGTATTTTTGTAACTTGTGTACACAAAGTCCGTCATTATTTACATGGTCCCACACAAATTGAAATACCAACTTCATAACATCAACAACAACATATTACACACAGACATATGCATGTTTTAAGATCTCATTAGTGTTAATTAATAGTTCAGCACTTGGCAGAAGGAGAAAGCCCCTGAAAGGCTGCAAAAGTAAACGACCTTTCGTCATGTTGGAGACATATGGTTGAGTGAAGACAGAGAATTCTCTGGTGATAGGTGTGTTGGACTAAGTGGTACGGGACGATTCTCAAAAAGGATCTTTGGTAAGATAATATGCACTTATTTTTATATGTTCTGTTATGTAAATGGGTTTTAGTTGGTGAGTTTGAACGCATATTTTTAATGTCACTTCAGCTATTTTAAACAGTTTTGTTTTGAAGTGGGGCCAAAATGGATTGTGCAATAAAATTGTAAGAATGTAACATGCTAGAACTTGCCAAATAATGGTCTCTTATCAAAGCCCATGTGTGAAACTTGACAAAATGTACAAGTCAATTAAGAGAAAAAGTTATCAAGAGATAATATAGTAAAAATTCCAAATATCTACATGCATATCCAGAGAAACTTGTTTGGAAAACTACATCCATTTATGCAACAGTGGCCATAATTTATGAACATAAAGCAATTTGTATATTTATATTACTGTATGAGTAGAGCTTACAGTTGCAGAAACATGAAATTAATTGCAGAAATTTTGTAATATAAC